TTTCTGCTGATTTTTGATTATTAATGGATGACTTGCATTCATCCTTTTCAACTACAACTCCATTTTGATGACAATAAACAAGATCGACTTTTCTGTCATCATGACCCATCTCACTTTCATCAACTTCAATGCTTTTTCCATATCGAAGACAATAGTGATCATCATTAGGAACTCCTTCGGTAAGCTCCATTTCAGATGTTTTTTGAAATTTCTGAACGCCTTATGTTCAACTCTTTTAATTCCAATACCATATTGGTAACAATGTCCAAGTTCATGTCTTCCATCAGCATAACCCATCTCGGCTGACTTTTGATAATTAATGAATGCCGAATGTTCCTCTTTTTCAAGACCGATTCCATCTTGGTTACAATTTCCAAGATCATATGTACCACTAATATGATTCTTCTTTGCAGATTTCTGATGGAGGATGTATATATTACGATCGTCCTTTTCAACGCCGTTTCTATAGCTTCCATAATTTATACCTAACAGCATTTGATTGATCTCAGCTTCCATATCATCCAGCCACTGATCATTTATATTAATGGTCATATCATTGCTGTTTTTAACACCATCAGGTTTGTTGCAATGTCTTTCGTTAATTCCACATTCCCAATTCTTGGCATCACTAAAATATTCATTTATTATATTACAGATTACATTATCTTCGACATCCATTTCATTTCGACAGCATTGATCAAGGTCGTTCATCACAGCAACATTTCCCATCTCAGTTGATCGTTGATACCGAGCAAATACCTTATTGTCCTTTTCAACTTCAGGTACGTTCTTCTTTTTAATTCCAACTCTTTTGACTTCAACGTCAGCTTTAACTAACGTATTGCCTATCTCAATTCCTTGCATCCCATCATCGTTGATTTCTGCTTCCAATTCCAATGCCCATTCTTTTGCTTCGTCATACATTATTGGACACATTGATTCAACCTCCCATCAGTACGATTCACATAACCCGCCTATATACCAATATAACTCTTCGTAATCTTTGATTATCCCTTTTACCGGAGCCACAAGCGTCTCATAACGGTAAGTGTATAACAATATAGATTCATGGTCCTTTTGCTTTATATTCCACACCTTATTAATCTTTTCCTCAACTTCTACAATCCCTTTAATCATTGCCTTCTTCAAACTGTATCACGTATCACACGTCTTGATTATCCTATGTATCCACGGCCTTTGACCCTTCGACACATACAATACAACCCTTTTTTGTTTCACATTATCATTCCACCTTTTCAATTCACAATGTTTTTCATAATCCCAAAGAAAGTCCACCAATTCGACAACACCATGATCATAAAATGGCTTTTCAAGATTATCAAACGTTGGACGCATAACACCACTACTTCGCTGTTTCCCAGGTAACAACGTTCTTTGTTGTTTCATTATATTCACACTTATTACTAACGTCGTTCTTTTACTTGCAAATATATCGCAAGAGAACTTCCACTTAATCCCTGAAACCTTAACGCTTGTTTTATCAGGTCCGCGAGTTTCACCGTTTCGTATACTTCTCTTTCACGAATTACCACCTGGGGCTTCCAAGTCCAGTGATTCAAGAACTTAACTGAGTACTTCAGCAAGCTTACTGTTCGCTTGTCCAGGTCCTTCTGTCGTGTAGTTTTCAACTACCTATTGCTTTACTCAAATTTACGGGTCTTTTCACGCTTGGCTTTCTCTTATACCGGCGTATCGTTCAGGTACTAACCACCAAAGCGAAGACAACACAATTACACGGTTTCTTAACTAAAGGTTATTTTAGAAAACCTAATTGCGAATTCAAACTTCTGGTCGATTCCCTTAAAGGATCACGACCCTTATATATTATTAATCATTGCGTCACAATTAGACTTTTAATTAATTTACAATCATGCAAAACCCGATCATGCCATCTATGATCACATTACACCAACCAATTGCATGGGGTACTGAAATTCACCATGACAATAGGGTTAGTTATAAGGTGATTGATTGCTTCTTCTTTGGTTAAATCAGTGATGTTATGATTTTGAGCAGCTATTTTATGATAAGAGGCCAAATATTGGTAGAAGTAGTAGCCACATCTCTTCTTATTTGTTTTAATATTATTGAGTTTACAGGCCTCTTCTTCAGTTGCAGATGCGAGTTCATCTAGTATCAAGGTAGATATTTGTTTAGCGAAGGTAGCTTCGTATTTGTTACCAGTAAGGAAGATAGAAGAGTTAAATTTAGGTTCGATCTAAGTGGTTTCATCTTCTTGAGGTTTTTTTGGAAAGAAATCGTAGGATTGTTGAAGGGTATCTTCATAAAGTTTCTTTTAATTATGTAAGTAATTTTTGTTGGAGTCTCTATAAGCACAATTTTGATCTTTGCATGTAAGTGTATGGTAGTTAGTGAATTTAGTTGAATGAAATTTTCTGTCTCTTGCGGAGATTGGTTTAGGAAAGTTAAAAGATGTTGAGAGTAGTTTGGTGAGATGTAGAATAAATTGTCTACAAATTTGAAGTTGGACCATCGAACGAGTTTCATCTGAGTTGGTATTAGTAGAGAATTGCTTGCAATAGATTGAAAATTGTTTGTCAAACCATTTGTTGAAAGTTGTATCAGAATTTTTAAGAGAAGGAATGTTGTACTGTTTTTGAAATGAGGAGACAGGTAAGTTGAATTGTATATGAGTATTATATTTAGCATCAGATTTAATAGAAAAATATTCTCCTTGTATGTCTGTGCTAGAGACCTCAGAAGTGATAAAAAATTTTTTGAGGTAAAGTTAAGATCTTGTGCAAATTTGTCATAATTAATTGTTTGGTAATTATCAGAGAGGTATAGGTGCAGGCGTGCAATATTAAGACAGACAAGAAGTCTTTGCGAGTTAGTATAGGGTGGGAAGGTAGCAAGTGATTCAAAGATTTTTATATAGTTGAGTTTGGTGAAAAGAATAGTAGTAAATTTAAGAATAAGATTTCTAAGAGTTGATTCAAAGAAGTGGAAAGGAATAGGAGCATTAGGTGTAACTTCTGAGTTTGCTTTATAAATTAATTCGGATAGGAATTCTGGTTTGCCAGCAGCTATTACACAGATAATATATTAGAAGGATGCTTTAAGAGCTGGTCTGTTTTTAGTTTTAGGTTTAATTTCTCTACCAGGGTAGAAGTTGTAGAGATGTTGCTTGAAAAAAGTCAGCAATTGCTTGGATAAAGTGGTTTGTAATTTAATATGATTTTCCATTTGGTCAGTAATGAGATAGGCTTTGAGCCAGTCAAGCCCTAAAGTAGATTTATCTTTAGAGTGTTTAGATTGTTGTTGTTGTTGAGTCTGTTTATTGTTAGATTCATGTTGTTGTTTTTGATTAGTTTGTTGTTTAAATAAAATTTGTTGATATTCAAGTTGAGAGATAAATTTAATATTATTAAAAATATCAGTCTGTGTAGAAGTTTCGTTATCATCAGTTTCCATTTTAGATGTTTCATGCTGCTGTTCTTGTTCTTGCAGATTTTTTAAACACTCAGTATAATAAGCCTCATTACTGTAAAAGAGTGCATTTTCTCGAAGTCCATCCATCAGTAACTTTACAGGTAATTAGTTGCCAACATTTAGAGCATGTGTGAGTATGTGTTGTTGAAATAGGAGAGGCAGGGATGGTAGTAGTTGAGCTGGCCAGAGCAGATTGAAGTTTTTAATTTGACTATTAGATGTAGTAAGATTGGCTATAGAGAATGTATTATATTGTTTGTTAGTAAAGGAGACAAAGTGGGTATGATAGTTGCCACAGAGGCATTTAACAGTAGCAGTAGATGTAGAAGCTGGAAAGAAGTGTGTAGCTTTGTAGTTATAGAGAGTTTTAGTAATACAGGTGGTGGGTTTGAATTAAGCTGGCATGGATTTAGCTTTGTTTAATTCATCTTCATAGACTGCAACACCAAACGTGTCTGCATAATTTTGATAGAAAATATCCAAATCTAAGGAGTCTGGTTCTTGTTTAATTAATATAGGCATATTAATTGAATTTTTCTCAAATAGTTTTTAAATAAGAGGTTTTATAAGAAAATGATTACTAAATTTGAGAAGAGAGCAGAATAAGCTTCAAAATGATATGTTTTTTTTAGGTTATGTTGCTTAGAAAAATTTAAGGATATAGGTCTATAATGTATTAAAGACTTGTTACAAGTGTGTATATATTTACGGTGTATTATTATGACTACTGCAGCTTGTGTAACCTTGTATAACCTAGGAAGTCTAAGGTTGCACAAGTCATGTATTACACAAGTCACGTGTTACACAGATCACATATTACACAAGTTGCACAGTTGGGTAGAATTTAGATAACGTTGCTAAGTTAATTATAGAATAAACAATAAATGCAGTAAATACAGTAATTAATTTGTGTAAATTAATTGTAGAATGAGTTGCCCAAAAAGGATTGATTATGTTTCTAGAATGGTCAAGTGTAAACAAATCAGAAATACAGGTCCGAATGTTACACAAAAAACGATTTTGATGGGGTAAACTAGAAGGGAACTTTTTAAGAATCTAAAGAATAAAAAAGAGAGTTTTGATATTTTTGATTCTAAAATGAGCAAATTTAGGTTAAATTTGATGTACTATAGCTTGTTTTGAAGCCAGAGATGAGCTTTGCAAGTTTAATTATGAGGTACCAGTATATTATTAATTCCAGTTTGCCAGAGCAGCAGAACTTTGGGAAGAGAACAGAGTTTTCTCTATCTGTTCTTGTAAATCGAATATATCAAGAACGATGAGAGATACAGACTTGAAACTTTACATGTATATATAAAAACAGTAGCTGAACAAATGTTATTAAGAGACTAGGAATCAGCACTCGAATAAAATTACAACAGCTTCAAAACAATCTCTGGTCAACCACAAACATCCTTCAATACCCTAAGCCTTCTATAGATGGCGCTAATAAATATACAACAACCTTTCAGATTATTCAACTTCTTAGACACACTCAACTTACAATTTCTGCATTTATTACACAACCTTATACACCGCAATACCTATACACACCAATTGAAACCCTTCTCAACACACATTCTAAACACAACAACCTTAAAAAACAATTATGAATCAAACATATTCTATACTTAGAGCAACTCACATCATTCGACAACTCTATACTTCTAGACTAGATACACATTTCACCCAGACTTTATCAAATTCCTACTGGACACAAACCTAAATGGTTTACCGTTTTAGAAAACAAAATTATAACAAACAATCTCACAAGAAAAATCGATCCCAATCTTAATCTCGCCACCTCCAACTCTCTATCATTTACAACAGGCCACTACAACTCAAAATCTAAACTATGGCTAATTACTTTTGATCATAATCATGAAGAAATAATTATAGGAAAGGCACAGAGATACAACACCAATGAAGACACCATTTCAATTACATATTGGTCGGTAGAATATAACCCTTCTCATACAAGTTTATACCCAACTCCAACTATTGACTGTGCTCTATGTACAGGATGTACATATAATACTAACAGGATCTAAAATCACTATATATTTGACATCCCAGCTAATTCCGCAACAAAATTCCTTAGCCGAAAAAGATATAACAATACAAACAAACTAAACTTATATGCAAACTACTTAGATCTGATTTACATTATTGCACTACGTAATCCTCTAACAATTCTTCTACTTCCTACTATCAAACTTACTAGTACTCCTATTTTTAACTTATTCCAAATCAACTTATCCTCTATTAAACTCCAAAAAATTGCAGACTCTAACAAAAGATTCACCAACTTTATATTCTATACAGATAGATTAGTCATAAACCTTTCTACAGACAGATGTTCTATAAACATTGGCTGGGTACAAATTCACAACAATACAATACTTCACTCATATTCCTCTCGCATTAAGCTCTGGCCATCATCTTATAAAGCAAAGCTTATGACAATACTATCTGCCATCAGTACATGTTTACGTAACAGCAATATACAAATAAATACAGATTCTCAATCAATAATCACAAAATACAGCAAAATTAGTAATAATATAATTCCACCACATAAACAATATTCCTACTTATATTGGCCAATCTGGCATTTACTACTCAAATTAATTCAAGCCTACCAATATATTATTACTTTTCACAAAGTCCTTGCACATAACAATAATATATTCAATGATGAAGCTGACAAACTAGCAACCAACCATAACTCTACTGCATATCTTGAATTTACTCATAACAATTTATATAATACATTATATACTCTACAATATGAAAATTACACAATTAGATATCTCTTATTACTAAAATTTCATTTCAATAATCTAAACTAAATCCCAATTTCATAGTAAAAACAAATTCGA